CAAGCACTGTGACTAGTCAAACTGGGTCAACAGACAAAGCAGGCAAGTTGTGGCCACAGCTGGCCTTATCAATCACCCACAGTCAAAGCAAAGCTGTGTCAAGTTACTTAAACAGTCCCAGTCAGTCAATCCTGCTTCATGTAGGCTGGGAATTCTAAACTAATGAAAACAGTCACTTATTTGATTTTGACTGAAAGGACAACTTGGCACAGAATGTATGTTTGCATAGAAGGGTTAATCAAGCAAAATCAATTTCAATAAGTTTGTTTAAACATGATTGATAAAAAGTGATGAAGGAGAAATATTTTTCTCGGAGACTCACGTGCCACCGCAGAACTCCACCGATGTCGTTGAGCCCCCTGGACCTGTAGGGTCAGCTACTAGGTCTTCAACAGGGATACCGATGCTGACGACACGCACTGGGTCTGGGATACCTACCAACAAGCAAACAAACACAGAAGCAGTAGCCAACAAACAAACAAACACAGAGACAATGACCAACAAACCAAACTCTGTGATAAAAACAAGAAGTTCCAGTTTGCTTTCTTAGGGTAGTTGATCTGTAATAGTTAGAGCTCAACAAAAACAACCAGGTTAGCAAACTAGTACTTTCCTTGCCTTCTATCTCGGCGACCCGGGCTCGCGACCCGGGCTCGCGCTCGGCTTTTAAGTGAATTATGTTTTCAGTCCCTGCCTATATTGTGAGCTGCCCCTGTAATACCATGCAGGGTCTCTAGGGTGCCTCTCCCACCTCTATGATTTGAACATATTTGCAACTTTTTCTTCAGTCTTCCACGCAACAGTACCTGTGAAATTTTGAAGAATCTTTGGTTCTTTTACCAGAAGAATAAAAAAAAACACAACAGAAAGAATGTAGTATCCAGTCGCCACTTCAGCAGTTGTGTACAAAGTCTATGTAGAGTCAAGAACATTTCAAAGTATTTCATAACAAAATTGGAAATGTTTCTCAGTCCCAGATTCATGTCCTTTCAACATTTTTGCAATGTCTAGTGACCTCATCTCATGATATATGATGAAAAAAGTGGCGTCAGGATGCAACACTCTTTTCTACACAACTAACTTGACTAAAATGTGCATGAAACAATCGTAATGCAGACATGCACTTTTTAGGAGCCTTGGTTCAAATTTCAGAAAGTATTAAAAGTATAAAAGTTGTCAACTAACTGTGTGTGAATCCGTAGACATACAAGTCATAAAATGACCTGTGACAAAGACTGTCCTTTACAACTGTTCATCCCCTATAACTTGCGACTAAAATTGTGAAGAAAATTTGTCATTTTTCTTTTGACTGGACTTGCCATGGAATTGTGATGGACCTTGTGTGCAACACAAATATAAACACTCTGCCTACCTCATCAAAACACAGCACGCAATCCCTGTATGGCTTTAGCCTGTGCCAATGGCGTGTTCATCGTGTACACTTTAGCAGCATGGCGATGACTTCATTGGCGATGCGTTCGGTGTCTTTCACTTGTTGCGTTGTCATGGCACCCTAACAATTCCAACAATACATAAGATAAGATTTGAAAGGTTATATGTCTTATAAGTGTTTCTTCAAAACCAATTTTATTGTGGAGCGCCGTGGCCTCGTGGTCTGGAGCATTGAATTCGTTGGTCTGCGGGTAATTCTGCAGGTTGTGGGTTCGAGTCACGCCTACGGCCATGGTGGGCGTGCCCTGTGGGCGTGCCCTTGGGCAAGGCACTTTGTCACACATTGCTTCCCCACCCAGGAGTAAAATGGGTGCCTGTGAGGGCAGAGATGGTTATTGTGGTTGATTCTAGCTGCTTGGCGCCGAAATGGCAGCATCTAGCTGTATACACCCAGGGAGCTGAGATTGTCTTTGGACTGTTTCAGTTGCCCAATGAGCAGGGTAATAATGGATGTAGCGTCTTGAGCACCAATATTGGTGGATACGTGCGCCATATAAATGGCACTATTTATATTATTATTGTAGGCTGAGAGGCTAAAACAAAAAGTCATAAAACTATGTGACAACAGTTTTCTACTTTAAATTTGCTTCAAGATTTAATTCATTCCTAATTCATTTCTGTATATTCCAGATTCCATTTTTCAAATAAATGATTTTCCTGACTTAAAAAAATCACCTTATAAAAATAAAACAGCTAATTTTTCCTCAATACAACAAACAATTATTCAATTAAATCTGCTCCACTATACAATCCCGAGAAAAAGACTAAACTATCGGAAGACCTTCCAATACCTTAGCGGTGAAGTCAAATCGTAGCCTGTACTGGCGCCACCAAGGATCCCTTCTGATCCGCGTCTCCTAAGACTTGACGCAGGGCAAAGTTCAAGACGTGAGTCCCTGTGTGGTTGTTCATCACGGGCCTCCTACGAACCTGGAATAAAAGCCGGAATAATGAAAATCACACCAATGTACCAATAGCTGCAAATTTCTGAGGGGGGAAAATCAACATAATGTTTCCAAAACAGTAAAAGCAAATAAATTTTAATTCCTTGCAAGCCTTAAGGAGAAGAAAGCATTCTAAATTAGTATTTGATGGAATTTGCCTTAAATTGTCTTAATTGCATCCACAAAGGTTCCCACAAGAAATCTTAAAATGAAAATTCCACGACTTTTCCCTTACTTTTCCAGGACAAAAGTTACGGCTTTCCAACACCAATTCCATGCTGTTTTTGGTAAAATGTTCCATGATAGCTTTGAATTCCAGAAGTTTTCCAGTTTTTTTTTCAAGACTGTGGGACCCTGATCCACAGATGTTAAGTCTAATATTTGATTTTTGCACCCCCTCACTAAATGCGATTCAAATTAGACAGCTGACCATAGTAAGCTCAGTGATTGAGTGGTTGGTCTCAGGTTCAAGTCCCATCCCAAAAAGTTTGTGAAATTTTCCAATACGCTCTCAGACTGTACCTAGCGTACAGTGTTTTAGAGTAAAGTCTGACATGTTAAAAAAATCAGTATTACAAAACAGTGCAGTTCAATAAAGAGAAAGTGGAAAATGTAGTCAAATTTTTGGGGGGGATATGATGGAACTGAAGATGCTGACCTCATCAACAGCCAGCTTGAGGCGGTCGCCAATCTTGATCTTCCCGTCCAAATCCACAGCGGAAACTTTGCCGATGTGAAGGCAGTAGCCACCTTTGACCTGGACATTGGTAACCCTGAACTCGATATCCTGCAATGCAATGCAGAGTACCAGGCAAGTTAAACAAACAACATACACCAATAATAAAAACAAATCAAAGCGAAAACTCAAAAGGTGATCAAATGGACCATTCCTGCCTGTCAATCAAAACAGTGTGCATCAGCCAATCAGATCAGGACTTTTGGTCATGTGACCCGGTAATTCAGTCAAACTCATTCACAAGCACTGTGAGAGATGTACACAAAACTAGAAGCGGGCGGGGCTTAAGGCCAAACCTGAAATGGCCAATTAAAATAAATCATCATGGATTAAACACACATGAATGAATAAATGAATAAATTTCATAAATACTTACAGCGTTGTCTTCCTTCTCCATAAATCCCTCATCATAGATCTGTCCTCCAGACTCCGCATAGAAGCAGTCTGATCCAGGAGAATGCCGCACTCGTCCCCGCGCTGCACCTCCTCCATGAACTGATTGTCCTTGCGCAGCGCAATAACGGTGCTACCGTCGACTCAAACTCTGTGGAGAGATCAGAACAACAAAGTGGTGTTGGTAGTCCATGGGTGCGCTCCACTCAAGCAAACGTTGCCAACGTTCACAATCTTTTGGTGCATAGTCAAAGGGAAAGCATTGACAATGTCTGCATTGGTCCGTAAGTAGAGTGCATCCCAACTTAAACATTTCAACTTATCTAACAACAAAATTCTATTCAAATTAGGTTTTGCCCTTTGACCAAAGTATAAACACTGTATACTCAGTGTGTTACCTCCCGGGACTCGAACCCACGACCTCCTGCTTTCTAGTGCAGACGTCTTACCACTCGACCACCGAGCTAAGGGGATCGATGAGCTGGTTCGATTCTGATGTACATAGCAGCGGGTTCCACATAAACTATCATAAGGTGGAATTTTGCGTCCGGGTAATGTAAATTAATATTAAGTTTTGCCCCACCGACGTTTAAAAACACTGTATACTCCAGTGTGTTACCCCCGAGAGGAAAGTTGGAAAAAAAATCACTCGGGTGGGACTCGAACCCACATCCTCATGCTTTCTAGTGGCAGACATCTTGCCACTGGACCACGAGCTAACGGGATCGGTGGCTGGTTCGAATCTGATGTACATAGCAGCGGGTACCGCATAAACTATTCATAAGGTGGAGTTTTTTCCAACTTTCTCTTGGGAGGGAACACACTGAGTATACAGTGTTTTTTCGTCGGTTGAAGGGCAAAAACCTAATTTGATTTACATTTACCCCGACGCAAAATTCCATCTCATAAAATGTTCTGATAATCACTTGAGATCAAAGCCAAAATCCTGTCGACATTTTTTCAACTCACGATAGTTGCACGGCAGCATCGCTGGTGTAGTGTTGTACTTGACTTTATCGTCGGTCGGACGGCCACTTTCCTTTTCTCTTGCAAAGCGTTGATAGCGTGAACGTCGAGACTGATGGTGTCGTCAACTCCAGATCCTTGCCCTGAGACAGAATCTGCAATAAAAATGTCAGCAGAAAATAATCAACCATGATGTCAAATTAGCCCCAGGTTTTATGATATAAGATTTGAAGGCTGGCCATGGTGAAGTTAGCAAAGTCAGGGAAAAATTCAAAGTTTTGGACAGTATGCTCTGCCCACCGTCAGGAGACGGATGATGGGCGGTGTGAAGTTTCTTCAGAATGTTATCCGTGAAAACTCTTAATGCACAAGTGCCAACCCCACAGAAACTAAAACCCAATGTTTCCTGTGACCTGCTTGTTTATACAAATAAAATAATATAAAATAGCTGAATTTATAGAGCGCCACGACTGCCTAAGGATACAAGGTGCTAAACAAAGAATGAAAACAGGGCAGGAGACAAGAAAAGAGGACAGCCAGTTGCTATTTGGAGAAAAGGTGGGTCATTTTTGAAGGACAAAATACTGCCAGAAATTCTGATGGGGATGGGTATAGGCTATTCATAATCGGGGGCGGCAATGGAGAATGCCCTGTCACCAGCCTGTGACTTGGGGATGACAAGGGACTCTCCCGCCAGAAGAAAGAAGGGAGTGAGGACGGGTCTGGACCCTCTATTGCCCACGAGCAGGGTGGATGAGCCGTACCTGGGCCTTCTTCTTTCCTCTTCGTATTCGGCCATGTGATGGTCATGCCCTTCTCCTCCATGATCAGACTCGTCAGGTCGATGGGGAATCAGTAGGTGTCGTATACAGCAGCCATGCTGCCTTGCCTTCAAGTGAAAAAAAGTGTTCATGCTATGATTTGAATTGATGCACAATAAGAAAATTATAACACATTTACATCATGTAAATATTTGCCAGAAATCGAAGCCGTTTGGATGCTAGTCGTGATTCCCAGTCACAAAAATGGAAATCAATGAATACTGTCAGTGTTTTCTGGCATGTAACATCAAGAATTCTCAAATTGAATGCCATATATGTGAGTCAACTCTTCCAACTGTATACTTTGTATAAAACACTGACAATTTTGCAGTAACTGGTCACAAATGGCTAACGGGAAAGCCAAAATTCAGACGAAGGTTTGACAGACCTGGCAGTTCCTTGGCGTCCGGCCCCAGCTTGTTGGACGGTCGCTCCAGCACACGGCGCCCTCTAGAGACGTCTGCAAAAACTGTGCTTCTTCCTCGTTAATGATGTCCATGACCAGCTGGGGGTTCCTTGGTCACTTCTGGGAAAAGCTTCGCCCTGGAGTTGGAAGTGAAGAAATTTAACAAAAAATTGTACAATTTCCTCACCTGAAAAACTTGAAAAACTCCTCAATTAAAGAAACCATTAACTCCATTGCTATTGTTGCCTTCCTGAATCCTCAAGGGCCCTGAAAGCCCCAGGTAAAATACAGTGGTGAGACTGGGAAAATGCAAAACTCCACAAAATAATCGGGCAGAGGGTCGAGGGTCGTAGAGGAGCCCCAGAGCAATGTAGGGTCTATGGGGTATGTTTGTATTTGCCTAAAGGCACTCCTTATACTACCCACTTGTTTTGTTTTTATATAAACATAAAAACACCATTAAGGTAAAAACCTCAGGAATTCCTGCATTCCAAAGGTATTCTATAAAAATCCTGAAAAATCAGTATTAATCAAGAAATCCTTTAATAAGAGTAAAATATCCAACAAATCTTACCCCTGTATAGTGGATGGGTTCTACTTTCTTCAATACAGAAACAA